ACAAGATGACCTCATCTCCCAGCCCGTCATTCGGTTTCTCGGTCGTCGTCTTTGCAGTCGTCTTTGCCGTTGTCGTCGTCGAGGCTTTTGTCGTGCTCGTTGTCACGATCGAGCCGACGCAATGGTACTGAAAGAAGTGTTCACCTACCTACATCCCTTTACAAGTCTCCCACTTTCAGTCTCTCCTCTTCCGTCAAAGCACTGCACTGCTTGTAGACGACGCATGGGACACCGGCGACATTTTTTTGGTAGTACAGCAGATTCTTGCGCCAATCCCTCGCATCCGGCTAGAATACGGCAATTGTCTCGTGGTAGATGATCAGCTTCTGTCTGAATGACGACTAGAAAACCCACTGCACGTCCGTCGACATTTCCGCGGCACTGCGGAATCGGATTGCACGGTGGGTTGAGTGACCACGGGTCTTTGAGACGCGACTTCTCCACGTCGCACCAATCCATCTTTTCCTGTAAAGAGTATTGTGGCGAATCAGAAGAGATATCTACCGTAATCTTGAGGACACCGAAATAGTCGTTTTCCGGATTGCTTGGGATGGGCCGACAATCCGGTTTGTCCGTCAATCCACGGCCATTCGCGTTTCTTGGGCAAATATCCATGCAGTTCAGCAGATCGCCGTTTTCAGCTATAGGCCTCAGGTATTTTTGTCTGTAAAATACAGGGGATAATGGATGAGACTGTGATGCGGACTGACTCATCGAGTTCTCCCGGTTGGTCCAGCTTGCAGAACGGTAGTACCATACATCCCCAACTCGCCACATTCTTCGGCTCGAACTGATTGCCGTGAGGATCGGTGCACCACTGAAAAAAGGCTTCATACTTCGGACGGGGAATTGTCACCGCCATGTGATTCTCTACAAAACGATACTCACCGGCTTGTATCTGCCCTTGCCGAGGATGTAGGTCTTCAACGGACGCGGGTAGCAGATGCGGGCCAGCGAGGCATTGGCCAAGATTTCACTTTAAAGGGGTGGAGAATGATTGGAACGAATAGATTGTGATGATACCTAGGAAAGGCATTCTGCTCCTCGCACCATGTCCCTTCGTAACATCCAAAATGCAGCTTCATCGACGCCAATGCCAGTTCATTCGCGCTCTAAAGTCAAAGCTCAAGTAGGAAAAGGAACGACAAACCAGTTTGTCAAAATCTTCCCGGCGGCACTTGGGGTTGTAAGTGGGGTTGATCGGGTAGTAGATGAACACGTTCGGGTCGTCATCTCGCTTGGAGCGCTGACGAAGTCGGATCCGCTTGATTGGAGCTCCAGAAACCGCAACTTCACGACGGAGGCGCTGTAGAATCATGGTTTTTAGTGTTTTGACAAAGGTTATTCGAGAAAACTGTCGTGGCACTGAAGAACAAACCTTGTCTGGCTTATAGTAAGGGCCTTCCTGGGTGAAGTGAAACTGAAAGTGAGTTTTGGAAAAGAAATGGAAGAACGGAGTGCAGGGTCCGGGTAGGACACCTAATTATTACAGTTTTTTACTTTATTATTTGAAAACAGGGAACCCCCTGTTACCAAGTCGTCTCCCTGGGCTGATGAGAAAATTAAAGGCTTGTTGCATGGCAAAAGCAGCCACCACCGATCGGTATGTCCAAAGATGCCAAGTAAAGTAATAGTACGCCTTTTCACACTGTTTTTAAGAAAAATATAGGTAAGAGCCTAGGAAACCCGCCAGCCGACACAAACTTTTGGATGGAAACATCTACAGGGTGTCCCATAAAAAATCACCCCTCCCCTCTATCCGGCCACAGTCGTGACGGAATTTCACGATTTAGGTATTTATCGAAAGCTCTCGGAAAGGCGAGTCCAGCACGTCTCTGATTCTGAAAATTCTGATTTTCCTGACGAGGGTTTTTAACCAAAAACACAATTTAGGGATTTTAAGCCTTTCCTGGCAACTCAACGACAGCTTTTTGAAAGCGCGTTGGGAAAACACAACTTGGATTGCGCTTAAACGGGTAATATTGAGTAATACTTAAACGGGTAATAAAAGCCTGTCCTTTGCGTATGAAATGCCGAAACTTGAGCAACAAATTCATAGGTTCAGAGGTTTCGGAAATTGGAGTGACGCGCTGCTCATGGTTTTTCGAGAGCTAGATACCTAAATCGTAAAAATCGGTCACGACTGCGGCCCGCTCGAGGGGGGCGGCGGCGGGTGATTTTTTTGGGGCCTCCCTGTATATTATTTTTGGGAGTATGGGTAGAGTTGTGGGATTTGGAAGTTGTCCCCAAGATGGCCCTAAAAAACAGCTGTCCCACCCAATCATCGCTCCCAAGCTCTTGGTGCAAATGGATGGCATAAAGATGATGGTATCTACAGCGTGGATCCTTCGACATATACGAGTGGCCTGGCTGAAAAGCATCGAACCGTCCATTCCAGAAAATCAATTGACACTATCGTAACCGGCCAGGCGGGAATTTAGCTTACCCGTTCGCCCGGTAGGAGGCACTTGATTTGACAGGAGGTATGGGTGGGATTTTTATTCCACTCGCACCCATGGCAGTCCTGATGATCTTTCCATTCGGGCCGAGCACAGTTCATGCAATACGGATCCGCGTCTTCACACTAAAAGCAACGTCCTCTGAGAGTCTTGGATTATTTAGTTCTGGGGGTTTCTAAGTTCCTTGATTTTGCTCAAGTCCAGTTTACCCTCCCCCCGCCCCCAGCCCTACTTTTCATCCCTACGTCCTATTAATGTTCGGAGTATCTGAAAATGTTTGTCGCGGTCGGAAAAAGTTGTTTCATGACGCCAAAAATCGCTAGAAAATTTTTTACAAGAGTTTGCAGTTGAAAAGATGAAGTCATCATGCCTCCTTGCACTACGGCTTCCAAACTCAAATTTTTTCCTTTTGCGCGCTATCTACTATATATCTACTATATATAAATTTCTAATGTCCGTCTGCCCGCCCGCCCGTCCAGGAATTCAGCCAAATTTCGCATTCAAATTCAAAATTCAAATTTCCGGGAGGGCAGCTGCTGAACCCCGCGTAGCGGGGGGTCAGCGCTGGTAAATTTCTAATGTCCGTCTGCCCGTCCGACCGACCGGGAATTCAGCCAAATTTTGGATTCAAATTACAAATTCAAATTGTGGGGGTGGGAGAAGGCCAGCGCTGAACCCCCGCGTAGCGGGGGGTCAGCGCTGGTTTTTCGGTTAAATGTACTGTAGCCGGATACTACAGAACAAGGGCTAGATTTTGGTACCATTGAGAGCTCAAGACTAAAAATAGCCGAGATATGAAAAAGCACTTCTGACTAGCAAAAATTAATGAAAGAAAATACAACATTATAATTGTTATAAAAATTTTCGAACAATTTTTAGTCTAACATAAGTTGGGGTGCGGGAGGAACGGAGCAATTAGAATTTAGATGGAGCAGAATACCGGACAATCTTCGGCGACGATCCCTTCGCATTTCGGACAACGACCCGTTTTGCTGTTCCAAGTGTCCACAAAGTCACTGAAGTGGCAGTTGACGCACGTGTAGATAGTACTGCGCAGCGGCGTGCACTGAAAAACAATATTTGATGAAGCAGATCGCCTTGGCCCGTGGAAAAAAAAAACGACGCCGATTCCATTCTTTTCATTGGGAAACACGGCGCGAATGCGTTAACGACGATCCGACGCGACCGTTAACGACATCCTAGGCCCAAGCATCAGGCAAGTATCGAAGTAGTTTTTTAAGGGGATTTCGGCTAGGGGAGGCCAGGCCTGGACAAACGGCGGGCCGGCCCGGGCCGAGAAAAATTGGGATTTTCCGGGCCGGGCCGGGCCGGGCCGAGAATTCAGAAAAAGCCGGGCCGGCCCGGGCCGGTGCGACATTTTTGTCTAAGTAAAAAAATAGGTTTTTGGACGGAAATTGTGTGCGATTTTGCATATTTTTCGCTCGCAAATAGCCTATTGGGCATTGTTATATAACCTCAGTAAAAATTTGGACCTTTTTTTGGTTTAACCCCCTACCAGGAAATCGACCCGGGTTCGATCCCGCCCGGTGCCATCTTTTTTGCTTTTTGGATTTTTTAGTCATTCGGACCGGGTTTTTTTCATAGAAGTATAATGGTACATCGTAGTAAGGTATGAAACATTAAATTATACACTAAAATAGTTAATTCGACCCCCAAATTGTTGAATTTAACTTTATTATCCTAAACTCCATCGATATTTATCCCTTAAAAATCGTTGTTAATTTAAACTTTGAATTTCCTTTCCGGAAAAGCTGTAAAGAGGACACACTAACGCTGTATTAACAGCTAAGTACCTTCAAAAGGTGTTAAATCACTTTGGTGGCAGGTTTTTGACCAACCCCGGTTTTGACCTCTAAAAGTCGGGCCGGGCCGGCCCGGGCCGAGAAAAATCGCGTCGGGCCGGGCCGGCCCGGGCCGAGAAAAATGGGGTGGTCGGGCCGGCCCGGGCCGGTCCGGGCCGGCCCGCGTCCAGGCCTGGGGGAGGCATCTGAAGCCATCAGGAAGGTATTTAAGTAGTTTTTGAAGGGGATTTCGGCTATGGGGGGTATCTGAAGCCAAGCCAAAGCCGTTAGCGTGGTTATTGATGTAGGTAGGGAAGGATGCGATGGAGTAGGATATGTAGGGTGGCCCGAAGGCCAGATGGTTGCAGACGCGAAGCGGGCAACTCCATTTTTGACGGGGCGGCCCCACTGTGCTAATAACTTATAGTGGGTTTAAATGAGGTAATCAACTTACTTCCTTGTTGACAGCTTAAATCATTCGGCTAACAATTCAAGCAAAATCCGAGTTTTGCCTTTAATTCGACCCGGCTTAACTTTGATTTACCAGGTAAACGACCCGGGTTCGATCCCGCCCGAGGTCAATCTTTTGCTTTTTCCTTTTTTGGGCCCGGAAATGTTCAGAATTGCTGGGAATCGATCTTGCCGGTCTTGTTTAGGTGGTCTGGTTTTCAAACTACACTTTGGAGCCGAAGAAATGGGACCCCACTAAGTAAAACAGATTTTTCTATTGAACTAAAGGTGTAATGTATGCTGCTTTATAAATACATCCTCGTTACATACAATGCCTACATCGGTTCTGCAAGGAAATAGACGATAAACCGCCTTGATTTAACGCGCTTTTACACCCCGGGAAAATTAAATGGCGGGATATATTGGAATGGCAAAAATATGCCAAAAAATGTCGGGCTGGGCCGGGATGCGGGCCCAAAAATTGGCTGCGGGACGGCCAGGACCAATAAAAATGGCCCGTTCCGAGGCCCTGGGTGCCCCTTCAACATGCCCACATCGGAGAAGATTTGTGTCCTCCCACACCAACCCTTCCCCCCTCTCCCCACCTTCCGGGCATCCGGTTTGGGCGCGTAAACGCCAAATCGAGCCCATGTAGACGTTGTAGTTGTGGTAGTCGTAGTCGTAGTCGTCGTTGTCGTTGTAGTGGTAGTGGTCGTTGTAGTGGTCGTTGTAGTGGTGGTCGTTGTGGTGGTGGTGGTCGTTGTAGTGGTGGTCGTTGTGGTGGTGGTGGTCGTTGTAGTGGTGGTCGTTGTAGTGGTGGTCGTTGTGGTGGTGGTCGTTGTGGTGGTCGTGGTCGTTGTTGTAGTGGTCGTCGTTGTGGTGGTAGTTGTGGTGGTAGTTGTAGTTGTAGTCGTCGTTGTTGTCGTGGTGGTGGTAGTGGTAGTGGTCGTCTAGAACCCGGATCCTAAGATTATGACCATGCCAAACCGATGTAGTAGTGGTGGGATCGGGCGGAACAGCGGCGTGCTCCCATCCGGCCAGACAGATCCCCTTCGGCCCATCCTTCGGCTGATCCTTCGTCGAGCATCCCCCTTCTTTCTCGATGAACAGGTCGAAGTTGCAGTTCAGCCACAGCGTCTTGTTGAATATCTAAAATCAAAGGTTTTGATACTAATGAGTGCCGATTATTACCTTGATGTTCGAATGGTTGTCGCAGATCGCATCGGGGGCCACAGGGCAGTGGCAGAGGGCATTCTGAAACAGAGAGTGAGAAAGAGACAGAGAGAGAGAGAGAGAGAGAGAGAGTGAGATGAAACCTACATCCGCGATCGACCGCTGCTCCGAATCCCTGACGACGAAGCAGGCGAGGGGTCGACCGTAGCCTTCCGGGCAGCCCTGCAAAAGAGTGCGTGATAATGCCATCAAAAAGTTGTTTGATTTTGAAAGAACCCCGTACCTCTTGAGCATGAGCGCCGGGAAGGTGGATGGCGAGGAGCAGGAGAAGACCGACGAGCAGCAATTGGCGGAGCATGATGACGACCATCCGTGGCCGAGGACGGATTCGTATGATGCCCCAGTGTCGGGAAATTCATTTTCTACAAATTTTAAATGCTAATGTGGGGCAACTTCCGGTCCGGCTATGCTAAATTTGTTGCGATGGAGAACTCTCGGAAATGATAGTTTATGCAAAATTTGTTGCCGTAATTTATGCCACTTTTTTTGGTCGGTCCCATTGTCATTTTCCGAACATCTTTTTGTGATTTTTGTGATTTTTGTGTGATTTTTGTGATTATTGACTTTTTGTGAAACGGCTGATTTTTTAGCTTTGAGCGCCGCTAGGCTTAGACTTCATCACAGCCGCGACAAGCCACGCAGTCCATCGATCATATGCATACGCGTCGCGGTCGTCCCTCCGTCCGTCCGTCGCGGTCGGCTGCAGACGCACCTTATTCCGCATCGATTCTCCCCGATTTGTCACCAATTGTTCCGGAACTATACGCTGTCCTAAAATTTTTATGACATAGCTATCTATCGAAAAAATCGAAATCTATCGGGTTTCGTTTTTGAAATTTAACCTGATTCCATCGATATTTAAAGCTTTTCTAAAAAAACGTTAATTCTTCAGCAGGAATTTCGCAATTAGCATGTCGATCTTGCATAAATCGGGAGTTTTCATTGTTTTTGGACGTAAAATTCTGAAGGCATTCTGAGAGAGACGGAGAGAGAGACAGCGCGAGAGCGAGAGAGCGAGCGAGACAGTGAAAGAGTGAATGATATGAAGGAAAATTGGATAATATTGAGCTAATAAAGGATAAGATTCGAAAGTGCCAGAAATGCACCGTGGAGAAAAAGGGCGCTCGAAAAACGATCTGTCGCTACTTTCGAAACGAAGGCAGGGTGGTGGCATCTTGAAAGCCCAAACCAAAAACACGCTGATAAGATTGCTTCGCGAATTTTTGTCTCCGCCCCTGCAGGCCCATATAGATTTTTATTGTCTAAATGTTTATTTCTTATCTATGACATCCCGCTCTTTTAAAGTATCGTTGACATAGTTATCATTCCATCAACACTATAAAGACACATGGTAAATACAAATATTAGACATCCAAAGGCACACATCGACACAAATTAAATTGAAATACGAATTGAACCCCAAAATCTAAGAGTTCGGTTGCGCATTAAATCGTTCGATCAATCTCTCGGTGTGCTCCTTCAGCTTTTGCACATTTTCGTTGTATACTCGGGCGTGGGGTAGGTATTTTTCGAAGCATTTTTCGTAGATGTCTGCGACTTCAATCAGCTCGGCGGCCATCGTTGAGCCGCTGCTGTAGTCGTTCGCTTAGAAATTTTCTGGAAATAGAATTTAGGGCTTAAATTGTTTAATAAAAACGTTTGACGAATTTTTAAGGTATTCTTAACTATTTAAAAGAGCAAAGAAGCTGTGCCCGATCTTGCCCCCAAGACATTTCGTTTTTTTCTTAAGTAGTCGGCCCTTTTCCCAAAAAGTCGATTTTTTTTCGGTTATTTAAGCGGTATTCATTACGTTTTTGACAAATAACTTTTAATATGTGCGAAAAATACGCCGGATTTCGGTCAGCTATGCGTCTTACCTTCGAATTGTTCGCCGTCGTATTCAGCAGCTCCTTCTGACTCTTCAAAATATCCTTATGGACGGTGGCGATATTTCCATAAAGCCCTTCGAATCGTCGTGGCAGATCCCGGCTGACTGTCGCTTCGAGCTCCCTCAATCTCGTGACCTCCAGGTCGACGACCTCATGGTTTCGATGTTCACGTATTATACAGCTCGAGCAGACGACAATATTTTTGCATTGCGGACACGCGAACAGATCTTGCAGCTCGAATTCGCGCTTGCAACGTTTGCATCTGTCCTTGACGATTGGGCCCTGGGTTGAAGGCAGGGTCAGGGAAAGCTCGAGCGGGTCAGTGTCGCTGAAGTTGAAGGAGAGGTCGCCTGAAAAAGTGGATAAATCTCGAAATATGCTTTGCTATTTTTTTAGCGTTTTAGCGGTCTATATGAAACCTGGCCCCATCCTCCTAACAAGGAGACGTTTTTAGGTGGGCAGGGAGTTTCGTAACGAGACCTAGCTCATCCGAAAGCGCTTGAAAAACTGAACAAGATCCCGTTTTCCATTTCTGCGAAACGATAGCGATTGATTTTTAATAATTAAATTAAAGAATTAGCAGAAATTGGCATGGTTCCCCTCGCGCGGAGCGATTTCCTTCCAAAAGTCCCCTCTCGCGGAAAGCCAGGCCCGGTCTTCCCTTCCCCATAGCGATTTGGCGCAGTCGGTACGGCGTTTGTCTCTCACGAAATTTTTTTGGAATTTTTGTCGGTTCGACCCCTGAGCCCAGAATTCGTTTTGCTTTTTATTTTAGGGGGCTGAATTTTGATTTTACTTATCTCAATGCGTTAAATAAACGTTCTGAACAGCATCGGTGGAGGCACAAGCGGGCCAGTTGATTTTAATCCCTGAGACGCGAGTGCAACGCTACCGGTTTGGGGCATACCTCAAAAAAAATTAATTTTGTAGTAGATTCCACATTTCAAAAGCGTTCAGGAATTAAAAAGCAAAACGAATTCTGGGCTCAGGGGTCGAACCGACAAAAAGTTCAAAAAAATTTCGTGGGGGGCAAACGCCCTACCGACTGCGCCAAATCGCTATGGGGAAGGGAAGACCGGGCCTGGCTTTTCGCGAGAGGGGACTTTTGGAAGGAAATCGCTCCGCGCGAGGGGAACCATGCCAATTTCTGCTAATTCATTAATGTAATTATTAAAAATCAAGCGCTATCGTTTCGCAGAAATGGAAAACGCGATCTTGTTCAGTTTTTCAAGCGCTTTCGGATGAGCTAGGTCGCGTTACGAAACTCCGTGCCCATCTAAAAACGTCTCCTTGTAAGCGTCGATTCCTGGAAAATAACCAAAGAACCATCGCAAACCCGATCGCGCTCGACAATTTGCTAGCCGCTGTTTTGGCGTAAAAATACGCCAATTTACCAATTCGGAATTTTATTAAGCTGTGAAAATGATAAAATCGCTCTTGCCGTTTTCAATTTTTGAAAAATTGCCGAGCCCGATGAATTAAGTCCTCTATGGGGATTACGACCTCTAATGCAGAAATGCCATGCGCCCAAACACCGGATTTTTATCCGAAAAAGTAGTTTTTGTGCTCAAATGTTCGGCTTTTTTGCGCGGAAAGCAATTGGCGGTAACGCTTTAATTTTGTAACGCACGGCTTTTCTGGGACATGCGGATTTTGATCCGTTTGCTTTTCAAATCATGACCTACCTTTCAAGGCCTTTCGCTGCCCCATCTCCCACAGTATCTTCTCGCTTGAATCTTTGTGTTCGTACAATGGTTCCATACAGAGTTGGCAGGCCTTCTGCACGTCCACAAAATCATAGCACTGTTGGCAGACCATCGTTAGACATGACAGGGCGACGATTTGGGTAGGTTCCTGCTTCTCGTGGCATCGATCACAGCGGAGTCCCAGGTGCATCCTTTTGGTCAGGCTATCCCAGCGCGCTTTTTCCTGAAGGGAGAAATTTGTAATGACTATGAAATACCACCTTAATGTTTTTCGGTTTCTTCTAACAAACAGATTTACACACCTTTTCCTGGCATCGCCAATTTTCAGGGCCCCTGACGTATTCTTGAAATCGCTGGATGAGCGGCTTGAATCGGTCGGCGCTCTGAACGGGTCCTGATCGTCCACAATCACAGCGCGGATTAGCCGCTTCACAGGAAATGCATATCAGATGCAAGCAGGCCTCGAATAGCATTGGGTCGTGGATGCTTTGGTCTGAAAATGGAGCTCAGTGAATTGGGTTTTTAACTGGAATTATTGGATGTATTTCCTCTCCCCCTCTCTCCCTCTCTGTCTCTCTCTCTCTCTCCCTCAGTCTTTCTCCCACTCTCCCTCCCTCTCTCTCGTTCTCCCTTTCTCTCGCCCTCTCTCTCGCACCTCCTCGTTCCCTCTCACTCTCTTTCTTACTCTCTTGCTCTCTCTCTCTCTCTCTCTCTCTCTCTCTCTCTCTCTCTCTCTCTCTCTCTCTCTCTCTCTCTCCCACTCCCACTCTCTCTCCGTCTCTCACTATCTCTCTCCCTCTCTAACTCTAGCTCACTCACTTTCTCTCTCTATTTTTTCTCTATCTCGCTCTCTCTATCTCTCGCTTTCAGGGGCGTAACAAACCCAAATTTCGGGGGCGACCCCAAAAATTTTTCGCTAATATGACTAAAATTACAGCGCCGCAGGCAAAATTTTTGAAAATATAGGGTTTATAACACTAAAACTAGTGTTAAAAATAGCCAAAAACGGCGCCGCAGGCAAAAAATTTTTTGGAAAAATTAAATCATAAGGGTCCCCCCTTATGAACTTTTCGGCCTTCGGCCGATTTCGGGGGGCTCGCCCCCCCCCCCCCTCTTACGGGCCTGCTCGCTTTCTATTTTTCAACCATTTGCATAATCATTTCCATGGATCACTGAAAAATAAAAAATACAGGTTCTGTTCTATAAAAAATCCTCAGTTTGTAGCGTTTTTATCGTTTCTTACTTACTTGTAAAAGCCTCCTGGCATCGCGGACATTTCCAAGGTTCCATGGCCCCGGTGGGAACCCATCCTTCTCGTGTTTTCTTCAGATTCGACTGTCTCAACTGGTCCATCACACAGACCGCTTGATGTTCCTTCCAAAGTGGCATACAGTTCTGACAATTCGGTCCGCCCCAGGTGGCCAGCGGGCTGTGAGTTCGGTTTGGTTCGTTGTCGAAGGGCGTCCCGCATTTGGGGCAATTTAGAAATCCGAGGGACATCTGGCCTGGAAATGTAGTATAAAATACAGCTTTATATCAATAAAATAGCAAAAATGGTGAACAATGTCTAACTAGTAATATTAAGTATGAAAAAATTAAAATCGGAAAGTTTTAAAAGTCTGAAGAGGCAATGTGAAATGCAAACTCTGTGACAATAATTTGAATCTTTACGTTAACTTGAAAGCGACAAATATAATAAAACGCATTAAATACCACCGGTTTAAACTATTTTCTTCATTTATGAATTTCGTCCCGCCCACGAGAAGCCACTAAACGTATTTACGAAATTTACGAAAATCGCGAAGTCGAAATTAGAAAAAAACGCCAAAAAACTACGTAATAAATATGTACGATCGGGCTAAAAAAGATTTTAATCGGTTATTATAGATATTTGAATAGGTTTATATTGCCTTTTCGGCTCTACAATCGCTAAAAATATTTTGGAAATTGACAAAGAAACGCGGATAACGTTAAACTAAAAAATGAGGAGCAACTATAAGTTTTTATAGATATTTTTCAAGATATCTAGGCAAAAACTTACCTTGTAGATCGGAAATAGCAGCCCAGCGGAATACGAAAATCGGTTACGCGTTATTTATCGACCGGCCGGCCAGCTGTGACCCTTCTGTGCCTGGCTGGGCGGCAAATACGAAAATCGTGGATCCAGCATCACTCCGCCCCCGGGGCGATAAGCAGGCTAACATCTGTAAAAAAATTCAGTAAGAAATTAAATGGAACTCAGGATAATGTTAAAAACTTGAAAGCACTGTGCCCAGGAATAACCTCGTTGCTGGAGTTTGGCGGAAAAATGGACATGGTGTGGATATGTTGGGCGGAAAAATCCACTTATATCCTTTGGAGAGATTTGCGTGCTTGATACTGTATCGCAGAGAATAATGCAGTGCTTTTTAATTCAGCAACCGATTTGCTTGTGGGCCAGATCAATTGAATACTTCTTCGAACAGCCCCAACAAAAACATTTCCAAAATTGGTTCGAAGTTTCAAAATGCCTAAAATTTTAAGCTTTTTGAAAAATTGTTCTTGTCTTGAGCTTTTCACTGAGATTCTGAGTCGCTGGCTATAGGCAGTTCGAACTGGTAAAAATTGATGTAATTCTTCGATCGGGCTATCTCGCGGAAAATCTCATTTTGTATACAAATTTTACGAATGCACCGCGACGCTACGTTTCATATTGCGCGACTATCAGATTGCGTATACAAGGTCTCCTAATACAAATGCACCCTTGAACCCGACGCAAAAGTATCGGAACGGAAAGATAGTTATATCCTTCGAAAGCCCTTGAAACGGTCAGCTTGCATCAATTTTCAAAAGCATGTTATTATTGAACTGCGTCACTTTATAACGCATTTAACTACCGCTACTTTCGGCCATTTTATTTGGGGGGCATGAGCAAAATTAGCTCGTTGCAACCCCGAAAAACCGCAGAATCTTAAGTTCTGCACAAGATAGGCTTGGTCTCGAATTCTCGAATTTCCATCCTGACCGAAAACCCTTTACCCAAAACCCCTTGATGGTCGTGGTTTGGGAAAATCATTTAGCTTTTGAAAAATAATTCTATCACGCGGACGAAAGCGGAAGCTCCATCCATCGGACCACGTTTTTTCTAACAACTTCCTCTCACTGTTTCTTGCCCATTTTCTTACATTTAGGAGCACAAAGTGCGCGATCGGGATGGTTGTCTGTGCGGGCCAGCGAGCGTGTGGCGGTAGAGGAAGTGTTTGCACAGTTCTGTATGTCCTCCTTCTCCTCGAAAAGCACCACACAGCCCTCCACCCAGTATTCCATCCCGTCCAAACCGTCCATCCATCCACCAACTCTATTTATCTGCCCGTCGATCGATATTTAAATTCTGAAAAATTACGTCTACTCAGCCTGGAAGAATACAGAATATGCCGCTGGGTAGGTCAAAGGCCAATTTAAAGGGAGTGTGACAGCAGGCCAAAATCGAGACATATTTGGCTACAAGGAAACGTTTTTGCGTATCCAGTCTCGATGGGAACAAGCCTATCTGGTGCAGATTTTTTTGCTATTCGAAACGCATCTCGCAGAATCTGCAAACCACCATGTTTGAAAGTGTAAAGTGCGACAAATTCCCAAAATGGCCCACCTTGACGGTTTTTCGCTATTTAAAACCGCATAAGTTTCTTATTCTAGTCGTTTAGCAAATTCTGAAAACACGAGTTTAATCAGCAAAAAATTCTGCACAAAATAAAACTGATTGCATTTTGAAATTCCTTGGAGTCTTAAAAACGCCTCCGAGTAAGTCATAGCTCGAGCGTCATTGCGTTGTCATTAAACTAGTATTTCCTAGGTCAAACTGTAAGCCTAAGCCTAAGTCTCAGCCTGAGTCCCAGCCTCGGCCTCAGCCTAAGCATCCGCTGATGTCTACGCCGAAGCCTAGCCCAAGCAATATCCGTTCGCTAATTTTCCGAGCCATTGATGGCGTGTTTTGGAGCGACGCGTAACTGCCAACATCCAGCAGGCAAAACCCTCGAATTTCGCGCTCTCTAGACCCTTTAAAATCATTTTAAACATTTTTTGGGTTTCTAAAAGCCATTTATTGCATATTTTATCCTTGAAATCTTCACTTATTGCCCTTTCAGCAAGATGCTCGCCAGCCAATTTCCAAGAAAGCTTACAAGTCTCAAAATTCATGGCACTAGCTGGGCATACGTTGCTTATGGTAAGAAAGCGCCAAATTTTCCGGAGAGGACGATTTTTCAGCTACTCTCCATCGGCCTTCTTGGTTTTGCCATCCAAGTCCTCGTCGAATACGGATATTCGTCACCAATCTCCGGGACGAATAGTTTGAATTATTCGGCCGGCCTGGCGTTGTTGGTCGGAATTTTGTCATTTGCCTCGGCGCCATTGGGTTTTTACGCGACGATTATACACGATGCAAATCTACTGAAAGCCGTAAGTCTTTTATAGCTCTGAATTTAAAGTCTATGAACGTTTCTTTAAGTTAAAATAGACATCTTTTTAGCACATGATGATTGTGTGCGTGCTGTCGATGTTTTGCATAGCCAGTCTGGGGCTTGGATATGTAATGCAAAATGAGGTATAAGTGAAATTATCTGTTTAACGTATCTCTTTTAGATACTATCTGGGTACGTGAAAACCTGGGCCAACGAGAGCCTTCAAAGCGAGTACGGCCACCCGGATAACAAGCAAGCGACCGAAGCTTGGGATTCGATGCAAAGACAGGTAAATAACGTTAATACTACAAATACTATGTAATACAGCAAGATATAAATTTTGCATCTATATTATTATTTTTGTATAGCTTTAACATACACAATGCGGCCACCTTTAACATAGGCCGCAGACAAGACATAAAGTGGGTATTTTGGCCATAGAGCTAGCTTGTTCTTAACGCTGTGGCTCGGATTAATTTAGATTTAATGGAAAACTGGGCTTTCTGATTCGTAATTTGCCGGCTTAGACCGTAGGTAGGCTCATTAAGCGGAAGTAGTGAGACGGCTAGTGACAATCATGCTATTTTTCAGTTGGCTTGCTGCGGTATGTCAGAAGAAGGGCCAAAGGACTATCGGACATCCGCCTGGCTCCTCTCTCAAATCGAATACCCTCGAAGATTAGTACCAGAGAGTTGCTGTCCGACCTGTGGAACAATTCATGAAAAGTAAATCAAGTAGAGTGGAAGTCCTGTCGCGCTCAAAAAACCTAAAATCCACAAGCTTTCTGCGAGATAAAAACCAGCGGTTTAGATTCTGCTACCAATTCCTGCTCGACAAAGTCTCCGTCGAAAATGCTACTCTGCTTGAGAAAGTTTGCATTTTAGGTATCAAATTTTACGCAGTATTTTCCTACGGAGACGTTTTTTAGCTGCCCAAAAATGTGACCGGTCCTCAGAGATATTTCCGGATCCGGAAGTGTGCACCGGGCGAAGAGCGCTGCCCGGCATGGTTCCGGCCGACGCCTATCGACATCAACAGGTACGGTTTTCGACGATCGTTCCGATTTTTTACACAATTAATTTCCCCAATTTCAGGGCTGCTACGAACAATTTGAACACGATCTCCTCGCCCACGCTCAGCGGCTATCTATTTTTGCCACCATTTTCGCAATTATCCTTATCATCAACTTTACTCTAACTTTTCGGTTATACCGTAAAATGACTGTATCGCCCTACGTTTCAATATACAGGCCTAGATAAAACAAAATATGTAAGGTATCGTTTTTTCATTAACTTATTCTGGTCACCGCTACTTGTCCTTCTACTCTTACTCAGATAAAATTCGGGTCTGTACAAATGTATATTTTAATAAATTATTTATCCTTTAATCATCGATTTCTTGAGATTCCAAATACTATAAAATACACGTAATATGGATGGTATTCACAAATTATTTCAATTTTTTCGATTCGCCGCCATTATTGTTGGAATCCTTCGAGGGGCTGGATTTTGATGTGATGGATTTTTGAGGGGTAGTAGATGATTTGTTGAGCATTCTCCGGAGATACCTAAAATGTATTAAATTTTGTAGATTTTGATGCTTTAATAAGAGGATAGAGGATAGATTTACGTTCAAACCCACCATCGCGCAAAGACATACGGTACGTAGAGCACGAAAATTACTGCCAAAACCAGGTCTAGACATAAATGCTTGGCTAGTTGGATGAGCGGATGGCTGGCTGGGGATTTCAAAGGATTTCCCTGTTGTTGGGCGATGAACTCAATCCAGTGGAGTACCTTAAAAATAACACAATTTTTTTCTGATCATCATCTAAAAATTGGTTTGATTAAAGATCGAAACCCACCTCTTCAAACGGAGTATTTTTCCTGGCCTTGAATTCCTTAGACGCCCACTTGGCCTTGTTTTTGAAGCTGAAAATCGGCAATTATTTGTGATTCTGCCGTATTGAACTTTTAACGTTAATTTTCAAGGTTTTCATCAACAAAACTTTGCTCCCGCCCCGCTTTAAAGGGACGAAAAACCCGACACGTTGACGCGCAACTAGCACGCAACGCGCACGTTCGTGTTCCGTATTGCGTATCGCGCTGCTTATCATGTTATGTAGCACACAGCGGGTAGCATCGCGTAGTATGTCACGTTGCTCGTCGCGCTGCGCATCGCTGTGTGTCGCACCCTTTAAAATGCACTACTCCGCCCTACTTACCTAGGATAGTCAAGCACATTCTTGATAGCCGCATAAATTGTGCTCTCGGTAACGTCCTGCTTTTCAACGACAACCCCAAGACCCTAAAATTCAGTTCAATTTCGGTTTTTAGAAGCCCACCCTGTGCGCAACTTTTCCCATATTATGCCGATTCTGGCCATAGAGCGGGATGCCGACCATCGGGACACCGTGGGCCACCGCTTCCATGACTGATAGCATACCCCCGTTGGTGATTAGGAGCTTGCAGGACTTGTGCGCTAAAAGGAGGTTAATATAAAAATGTATTTGGCTGTCTATCTCCATCACTCTCTCACTCTCTCTCTCTCTCTATCTGTCGCCCTCTCCCATTCCTGCCCTTACCCAGCAAATCATTCTGCGGAATGTAAGCCGTGAAGTTGATATGGCTGGGCGGTTTCTCGACATCGACACCGGCCAATTTGATCGTGGGCCCAACTCGCCAATAGATACGGTACTTCTTCAGCTTTGAGAGGGCACCGAAGAGGGCTCTGGCCTAAGATTAGCATGCGTGTTTGACAGTGGATGCTAAAACACACCATATATTCTGGCATATGCGCCGAATTGGCCTGCGTTCCCATCGAAACGATGATCATACCGGATTCTGCGGATTCTATCGAGGTGTTCCAGGGCTGAAAATATAAATTTTTATACGTGGTTGTGTGCCAAGAAGTTGATGGAGACTTTTTTTTAAGGGTGCTTTTTGGCTTGCGGGGACTTCGGCCGATTACGATAGTTTTAAGACACCAGTGACGAAGGCTGTAAATTTCGACAGACCGAAGATCAATGATATTTTTATAAAATAATCTGGATTACCCAGGGCATAAAACGGGGCTTACCGCAAACAACGGTTTCGGATGATCGATATGCATTCCTCCGACCGGAATTACATGGGGTGGAAGCGGTCGCTCGTACTCCAATAATCGATCGGTATTGGCGAAGAATAGAGCGGACTTTCCCTTGAGTTCATTGACATCCGGGAATGGCTTGAATCTAAAAATAAAATTATAGTGACCATCTTGCCGGAAAGTAATTGCTTGCCTACTAGTTAAATCATAGCTTCTCCTACCTCTTCTTAATCTCATAATCCTCAGCAAACATTCTTGTGATCTCCTGGTCAAGGTGCTTATATCTAAAAAATATCACTTGAAAATCATAGGTATCGATTTCTTACCTTCTTGATACAGTTGAGGCCAAGAAGCGAATCCTCGACTGGGCCAGGTACTCTTTCAGAATACATATACCGTTGAAGATGCGATTGAGGGGAAGGAAGGGCGTCTAAAATAATAGGTTACGCCATGAAAAACCGTGAACCATATACCGTACCCGGACTTTTAATCGTTCATCAAGACTTTAAACGTCTTACCGGCCTAAACGGGCAGTGTGAAGATGGGTAGTCAAGGCTCGGCGAAACGCCGGCAGCAACTAGGGTCTCATCGGTGAGTCCTGAAGTTTGAGTTTTTAAAGGGCTTGGACAAGACAATTTTACACCAGAGTTATCTTGAATACGCTCTGCAATGCTAGCTAAAGCTTGTGCTTTAAAGGATCCTGGGCAGAACGCATCTATGGTCGAATTCAATAGATTACGCGATAAAAACGATGGTTTAAAGCCTCACCTTCCTGATCAAAATAGATCACAGGCTTGCCGAGCACGTGCGCCAAAGCTAGTTGACAGGGGTTTCCAGAGTAAACAATCACGACGTCAAGCTCATCTTTCTTGAGTTGGTCCATCAGGTTCGAATTTAGCATCTGGAAATACAGATTTAGAAAGCTTAAGAAGAGTTGAGGTATCATTTTGGAGGTACTACTTACCTTTACGCAAGAAGCATTGTGCGCAACCCAGTAGGGCTCCTCCATCTTGTCGAGCTCATAGTTTTGACTCCACGGGACGGTGTCACCGATTTTTTCGAGCGGTTCGTAGAGTTTTCTAAATGTGAGGATTACTAGAAACTATCTGCCATTGCGTTAAAAAAGTTAAATTTGTCGAGGTTAAAGGCGTACTTGGTCAACAAATTCTTCATCGTTTTCTCCCGCACCAAATGAAGCTTCGGCTTCACCAATCGTGGCTCTTCAGGAATCAGAATTGGCTTGACAGTAATTACCTAAATTGCTAATTTTCCAAATAGTGAGGATTTCCTTACATTATGATGTCTCAACGCCAGTTGCTGGGCCAAATACTCAAAAGTTCCTCTCTCGAATTGATTAGTCCCGATGAGGAATAAAAGGAGGTTTAGGGAAGAGACGGTGCCGAGGAGTAGAAGGGATGAGAAGACCCAGAGTAACCGCATTCTGAAATATAAGAATTATTAAGCTTGGGCGTTAGTTACAGAATACGAATTTCAAATATTTTGAATTTTCGGTGTAAGAAGGAAAAAAGATACAAAAATTTATAAATTTATGAAAATGTAACGCCGTAATCTGTTTGAAGCGTAAATGCTTTTAAAGGGCCCGGCAAGGCCTGACGCTGGTTTTTGGATCCACGAAGCTAGTCATTCCGTGGCTACCAACTCGCGTTGCGTGTCGCGTAGCGAAAAAGCTTACAGGGAATCCATAATTAACGGATACCACCACGGCTACCAACTCGGTCCCTTTAAAATACCAACTGACCGGGCTCGGTCATGTCGCCAGATCGGCTACGTCTTGCCCGCTGCTTGAAATTTCACCCATCTATTTCTTATTTGTCATCTTCATATCACTTATTTTCACATATCATTTCATTTTTCCTGAGAGTTGGATCTTGGAAATACAGGCCCCGGAAGTTGTTTCCAAATTTTCCAATTATTTTTCGTCTACATCCTTGTTGCACCACTTCCTCAAAGATCCCTTCAAACTCTACCAACCCCCCTACATCCCGCTTCGCATAAAATTATGTGAGCATTGACGACGGGAGCATAGATTTCCACTTCCCCAAAACGGGAGCCACGAACTAACAAAGCCAATTGGCCGTGCGGGGGGGGGGGCGGATATTCCCCGAAAAGCTCAGCAGATTTTTGTACCCCCGAATCTCGAGGAGATGTGGCGAAGGTGGGCCAATTAGTCGGGTTTTGTCGGTGCAAAAAAAGCAGCGCCCCTGGGTGATTCAGGAGCCGGAGGATGTTTTAGAAAATAGCGTGTAGTTTGTGTTTTTTGGCGCCCAGACTACAAAATTGTGAATTTTCAATGACGGGTTTGCCTAACGAATTAGTTACGCGATGTAATAAGCGAATCTCACCATAACCATTTGGAACTCGAAAAATCGTAATAATCGCTATAAATCGTATTTTTTTTATTTTTTAAAGGCATAGGAAGCATAAGATTGATATGATATATGTATGTGATATATTGATATGAGGAAGCATTCATAAGGATTTAAAATAGGAAAGACGTTCCTAAAATTTCTTAAGGGCGGGCAAAGCAAGAATCCCTACTTTTTGGCCCGGAATTCATGAAAAATCCGGCGAGGCTTGAGGCACGCTGAAGCCTGATTTCCATCACGTAATTCATTACGCTTCAGGCAATCCATAGTAATTGCTTCGGACGTTTTAAGAGCCCCCATAGGTCAGCGAAATCAAAATAAAAATCCGTGGGGAAATTTACCATTTAGCGGTCATTTTTTAAAGGTTCGGGTAAGTCAATGCTGACAAGACTAGAAATTTTGGGTATCAAAACTCCAATAAAAATCAAATTTGATAAACTGATGAGAGTGAAATAGATGAGTGCTCTAGGCGGAAGGGATCGCCCGGGCTGCCTCTTCCTTGAGAAGGTAAATGGGATTGAGAGTGTGGCCAAGGGCAAGAGAAGACAGGCAACCATTCCCCCCCCCAGAGGGCCAGATAGGTAGAGGTACCGGGTGGGTCAACCCGGCACATCAAACATACTGTCTTCCTCCTCTCTCTACTCTTCTTAGGGCCAACCGGGAAGGGCGCGACTGACTGTCCTGACCGTTTGTGTACCGTCAAAAGGAGCGAAAGGGACCCGAGTGGCCCGAGGGCCCATGGGCATCTTTATTGATAGGGGGGGCAGGGTTCCGATTAGGATGGAATTGAGAAGTCAATCAATGGTAACGTAATAAAATTGCTAATTTGGCTGTTTTGAAAACAGTTGTATTTATCATGGCGATGACGCTCTCTCTCTGGCGATCTTTCATTTCTACTCTCTCTATTTCTACACTTCTACTCTCTGGCGATCTTTCATTTCTACGATAGGATCCTGTTTTTACGATGGAGCCTCCATCTGCAGATTACGCAAGAAAATCCAAAAATCGCCAATTAGTGCTATGAATAACTCAGAACAAATAATTGCATTAGTGCAGGCTGCAGCTTGAAATATAAATCCAAATTCGGGATGCGCCTTTGTCCAGAAATTGCGGATTGTGGATCGCATAATGCTAAATTTTAGGGCTGTTGGGATCCGCGGAGCGTAACGGAAGCCGGACTACCCTGAAACATCTGGCCGGCTCTCCCATTAATTTTGATGGCTGTGAGCTATAAGGGGATTTTTAACAGATTTTTGGCCTGGCCGGGTAGCCGGTCGAATTTTTCGAGGAGTATGTCCTAGTTTCTAATTTTGCAGGTACAGGGTGTCACAATAAAAAAACCCCCTCTAACTCGACAAAAAGTATCGGATGAGAATGATGGTTACTTCTTTCGAGAGCTCTTGGAACGGCGAGTTTGTAACAATCCTCAATATCATGTTTTTGTTGAAATTTCTATTTTTTGGTTACTATTTGGAAAGCAATTTCGTAAAATTCGGTGGTTTTTTACAGGGCGCACATGAGCGAATTTACCACAAGTTCATCAATCTTAACGATCGGAAGTAGCCGTTAATTAGATGCAGAGACCGCACCTCAATGTTATTAAATGCGGTGTAAGCTTTCAAGGACTTTCGAATGGTGCAACTACCACTCCGATTCGATGCTTCTGCGCCGAGTTAGCGGGGTTGTTTTTTTATTGGGACACCAGGTATCTGAATTCTTCCGATGCATTTTCACATTCAACAAATAACCACTTTATTGATCAATCCATTTCTGGGGGTGATAGTCTCATCGAGTTGACGAGAGAGAGAGGGGTACAGTTCAAGCGAATATTGTACACGGCTGCGAGATGCTTCCAAAAAAATTAAAATAAAATTTGAAAGGGCTGAGAAACGGAGATCAACGTCAGTTTGAGGCTGGCAAGTGAAAGCGAGAAGAGCTGTGGGGGGAAGTATCTAGAAATTCTGAGAAGGGGGGCAGAGCAGAGATTCTTTGCACGAGGGGCGGCGGCAGAAGAAGCACAGGGGAAAACTCGTTGACGAACAAGCCCTAGTTGTAGCGGAAACGACGGCCCGCACCGCACAACTTCCACCGGCATCGTTTGATCACTTTTCGGGGTCCTGGAATGGGAAATTAGCGTTTTAAACGGGGCGCCGGCAGGTTTACACCTAACAATAAGCACGTTGCCCGGCATTTTGTCGAAATAAAACTTGTTCCAATTGTATTTTGCCGAAAGTGTGCTCGGTGTTATTTGGCGTATTACGTAGGGTCCAGATTTAGTCCAGAAAACGGATCGCTTTTACGCTTCCCAGCCCCTCCAAATTGTGGTCTTTTGCAAAATTTGCGATATGGAATCCCACTTCCTCTGAACCCGTGTCCTTCTATTTTTCACCCACCTTCACCGTCCATTTCCAATTCTTCACTGGGATTCAATATCCTCCGCAACAGCCCGTCTTCTACCAAAACGAGTTCTTCTGATGAGCCCATATCGTCCTGGAAAGAGAATTTCACAGGTTTGGGATCTTGAATAGGTGTCTTTAAACGCAAGCGTTTATTTATCTTAAAAAAAATATAATTCGTAGAACCTAGGCTTACGACCACGTTAGTTACAACCTCAAAAAGTCCAAATGTTCCATTAACATACCTGTGCACGCGCAAACTGTGCGACGAGGAGGGCGGCCAGTAAGGCGCGCCACATGCCAGGATTAACCCTGAAATGACGTACAATTGTAGCCATAATTAAAGCAGAATTTCACAAAAATTATTGTCATACTTTAATCAATATTAACAGAGCCTGAACGCCATTCAAAATCGTTGGAAAAATTTTAATTTACTGGAATGATAAGCTGAAAAGCTTTTTTTGTTGACGGTATTGATTATTCGGAGCCTAATAACATCTGAAAACTCGGAGTTTGTGGACTAAATCGTACAATTTTCAGGGCGAAAACTGGGTTTTTCGAAAACTGGAAGCATCATGGGGCCAATGAGACAGGGGGATAAATACGACGATGTGGACGATGAGTATGAGCCATTCCTGCCGAGATGAATCTCGAAAAGGCTCCCTCGAGTCAGCCGCCATGTTTGGCTTCGCCCCCGGCCATTCAAGTAGACGACGAAATGACGGTGTTTGGCACGGCCCCTAGCCGGAAAAGAACGGCTATTTTGTGGGCTGATGAAACGGCAGGCGCAAAGTTTAAATTGGATGTACAGCAAACTACGAAAAAAGTAGAATTTCAGTTGATTATACAGATTTTAAGCGTTATCACGGATGTAGAAGCTAGCAGATACGGCTTGGGAAGAAGTGTCATCTTTTCTGACTGCAAATATTTTGTAGCTAGTCGCTTTGGCGAGAGAAAGAGACAGCGATAGAACGCCAGAGAAAGAGAGAGAGAGAGAGAGAGAGCGGGCGGGAGAGAGAGAGAGAGAGAAATCTCAAAAAAACAGGACGGCTTTTAAAAATTTCCAAAAAACAAGGCGTCACGCAAAATTTGTAGCCTTCCGGGGGAAGCTTGAAAAATGAGGGGACCTGAGACTGACCGCCCGAAAAATATTGCTAGATTACATAGCGATTTAAAAACACTGCATTTGCTCTCGTAAGAGTGTTCGAGGGCGTTAGTATAAGCATTGAGATATTGGCTCAGACTAGAGGCAAAGAAAAAAAGTACTGTAGCGTACTGTCACCTGAAAATCTCCATTAGCTTCACGCATGGGTATAGATTGAGTGTCGATACCTCCAATGGTCCTTCAAAACAAAGTCACTACCTCAAAGAATGCCAAAAATTCCGCTGTGCTCCAGCCACCACCCGCCCAACACGTGGCCCTGCGCCCACCCTGCCCAGCGCCTACTACGTGGGCGGCGGTATTGGCAGTGAATGCACAAGTGCAAAAAGTGATCGTAATGAGGAAATAGAGAATGGAGATTTAGGGGGAGAGAGAGAGAGTGAGAGAGAGAGAGAGAGAGACGTGGATTTAGAAGAGCCGGGGATTAGTTCATCCCTTCCCCCTCATTCCATTGTCTGCCATATTCACAGCACCGCCACCGCGTGTATTCTGATGTGTCGTGGTGGTGTGTGTGTGTGTGGGTATTTACTAGCCAAATGCGTAGGCCCTGGCAAAGAATGCAGATTGCACAGAATCAAGGAAACCCAGAAACAATCGAGGGTATTGAATGGACTCCGAGATCAGAACACGCCAGGTCCATTTTTCCAGAATTGGCGTTGTTCACGGAATTATTCTTGGAGTATGGAAACGACTAGACGGTTTTTTAGTACGTCAAGGCTTGGAAATATTGACAAAGAAGTATATTGTTCGAAAATTTCTGATTCCTTGGCTGTTTGAAGCTTGGTGCCGCAGGCGTCGCCTGGCGCTCGGTCGGAAAGTAAACCAATGTCTAGTTCAAAACCGTATTGATGCTCGTGTCTGATAAAAGCTCCTAGACGACACGAAACCACACTTACTGAGTACTAAACCCTATTAACTTGGTCGATAAATTCCGTTTCTGAAGATCGCTTACTAATATCGTTTTGAGGGTGGTTTCGTGTCTTTAGAAATCTTGTTAAGTGGATATCGATCAAGTTAGGCGACGCGGTCTGAAGTTTCTTAGCACCACCAAAGGGTACAGAAAACTTGGAGTTTGAATTTTTTTGTTTGGATCCTTTAAGCTGCTTGAACTGAGTGGTGGTCTACGCGCTGCAAAGCGTAGCCGAAAACAAAATATTCTGCTCCTTGATGTTAAAAGAGTGACCACAGGATCAGAAGTATGGTGGGCTCCTAAAAGCGTAGGCAGCAAGAGTGCATCAGAATATTGTACACATCTCGCATCCGAACAAACACTCCTGACGATCATGACTTTCTGAACACCACCAAAAGCTCAGCCGGCCCATACACCACACGACAATCAAAATAAGCCCATTTCAAGGGGATGACTGCTAACAATCTGGGTCGAGCGGGCCGCTTAGCCATTCTAGACGCCCTGCATTCCTGACGACCGGCCCGCAGCCCGGAAATGTACTTGTGGAAAAGCAGGTCCACAAAAACCAGCAAACCCGAGAGCGAGAGGGAGAGGGAGAGAGAGGGAGAGAGCGAGAGAGAGCGAGAGAGAAAAAGAAAGACAAACCTCCCAAAGTATGGGTATCGTAGTCAGTGGTAGCGGATTATCATTATGGCTGAGATTGCGTGTGTTTTTGGGGGAGGCCCACGCCAGGTGTTTTTGGGTTTTTGGGCTAAAATTAGAAAATAGGGGTTTTAAAGGAACCGGAAAGTAAAGTTATCCTAAAAAACCAGAGAAGAGTCATGGCATTGACTTCTAGGTACCTTTAATTTTGTCGGATCTGCCGGTATTTGGGCGCTAAATTTGAGAAGAAGCTGTTTTAAACAGCCCGGCAAGCCGATTTCTTTTGCAAATCCATACCGACTCGTTGCTTGGACTTTCAGATATTGGTACTTGCATAGCATACCGACAATTGAAGCGGAAATTAAAAAAAAGCGCAGTTTTAAAGGTATCGATTAGTCAATCGATTGTAAAATACGGAGGAAATGTCGTGTCTATGGTAACTTTAATTCTGGCAAAATCTATCGGGAACTGGAAGGTTAATTTGGAGCTACGCGGCAAGTCATCAAGTTTAAAAATTTCTAGGGAATGCCAGAGCTTTCACTGCCAAGTACCCTTAATTTAAGCCGAATCTGCCGGAACTTCCAACTTAGATGAGAATTCAGCCGTTTTAAAGGGACCGGCAAGCCAAGCAAATCTATGGAAAACGCCGTGGGGTCGACTTCTCAGCTGACCTTAGGGTGACTTTACCCGAGTCCTCATTTAGTGCCTCAACTTTGGACTCTTTTCCCCTACCCCCAGGAAAAGCTTGGCAAATAGTGACGAATGGCACGTCGTCGCCTCCGGCCAGCCAGCCGGCCAACCAAAAATGGGACTCAAATTACGGCTCGAAAAACTCGTCTGGGTCATATTTATGCAGGACCATGCTTAAATTAAATAGAAAAGCAGCTGTGAACATTAATGGGTGCTAAGAAAAGCCATGACTCAAAGTCTGACGGGTACAAAAATCGCAAAAAAAGGTCGAAAGCTTCAGCACCGCTAAATCCAGAAAACACCTGTTGGGGAATGAGGTCTGATCCTGGTTTTTGTCGCCTTACCGCAACTCGATTAACCGCCGCCAAAAAATTTGTCATTGAGGCATATCGCCAAAAATAGTTAGCGGAATGGGGTGATTTATGTTGGATGAATGGTGCACATGAAGGACAGTGGAATGTGGTGGCTTATGTGCGCTATACCATTTTACAAGGAAAATGTACATTTAAACAGAAGAGAGAGAGAGAGAGAGAGAGAGAGAGAGAGAGATAGAGCGCCGAGAGAGCGAGAGAGTGAGAGCGAGAGCGAGAGCGAGAGCGAGAGAGAGAAGGCAAAAAGCAAAAGTTTCACGGAACTTCAATTGTTTTTGCGAAAAAATTGACAATGACGCGTTGGTATAATTACTACGTCGGGGCCATTACAGCCATTAAGTCTGGAATTAAATTACCCAAGCGAGTTTCGGGGAATTCTGAGTCTCAAAAATTAAGTTGGATGTGAGGGGCCGGCATGGATAGCTGCCCCGAGAGAGGCATTCCGCGTGCTTCGGTAGCTCAATAGGGAGAGCATCGGACTCGAAAGCCGTAGGATGCGGGTTCGACCCCCGCCCGGAGCACTTGTTTTGCGGATTGGACCCGGAGCTAGTCCATGGCCATGGGACCCCAGAATTCCCAACTATTAAAAAATTTTTCAAATTAAAATTTTTGGCTATTAAGAAAAACAGATCGGAAGATTAGGAGAAATTAAAAGATAGTTTAGATTCAGATGAAGCTCTAAAAACCTTGAAATCTCTCGCTTTATAGAACATCGCCCGGAAGTGGCTTCGCTATTTGAAAATATGCGGCTTGAGGAAGGGCCTTTGAGCTAAAAAACAGATAGGGGAGGCGTGGGTTGAGGCTTTTGAGATTGGGCCAATTCTGCGGGCTGGCCCATCCCACCCACCGGTTTTGCCTTTTTCTGGACCCTCGGTCCGCTTTTTCCTCTCAACACAACATGGTGCGGCCCAAGTGACTTCACCAATTAATCGGAAGAGGGGCAGGGTGGGTAGAAAAGGTTGGAGAAAGTTAAGGGATCGTGGATGTACGTCACGACCTGCCGTAAGCGGCCTCTAACGACCCTAATTTTTTTCCTGCGAGTAGAGGAGATTTCTGCAGATATTGTCTGCCGGAGATCCGGGTGCAAAATGCCAACTTGAGCGCTGCAACTAGGAAAGTGTAGTCTATGATCAATGAAATTTTGCAAGTTTGCTTTTCGAGAAGGGCGTTGCTTGCGACAGCTGTAAAATGTAGGGAAGGAGCGCACGAAATTCACAATAGCAAATTCTGACGGCCTTGTCCAGTCTTGGAATTCTCATGCGTAAATTTTGAGATCGGATTTTAATATCTAGGTTCAAATCTTTCAATTCGGTTATTTTAAGTTCAAATATAAAATAGTGTGCGAAACAGACCTTATTTTAAGCATTATTTAGAGTTATGCGCCGGATAGAGGTTGAAAATGGTAAGAAATCACACCTTGAAAAACTTGTGAACAACTACGACCTGTGCAAGAATCCGCCTTGAGGCCGATTTTGTTCATCTTTGGCTTTGAAACATGCAAACTTTGAAACACTTTTTCTTCAA